AGGTTGATGTGAGTGGCAGCGAAGACTTTGATGACGAATATTTAAGCTCGGACGAGGATGATATAGAACCTGGCATGCCTATGGTCACCACCAACTCTGTAAAGACTGAGGAGGAAGATCCGCTAGAGCCCTACCCACCAGACTGGTAGTCGACTAGTAAGGAGGAGGAGGAGGAGGAGTTATTCTCGCTGCAGGTGTTGTCCTTGCGTCTACTATAAAATTTCTGTTATGAATACTAAACATAAGTTCCCCTATACCAAGACCGACACCTGGACGTTCAGCTACGTCTGCCCAGACCGTGGTTGGCATACCCTTCTTGACACCAGGTATTACCCTCCTCGGTGAAGGGCATATTCTTATTACTGCCGCTTCTCAGGTTCGTCAACAGGCGTGATGGTTACCTAAGCTCAGACGGGACGTTGGTCATTCGAGCCAGCGTGTAGGGGAAGGGTCGGGCCGCCATGAAGGGCTTCACCGTTGTACTCAGTTACCCTCGCTTCGCCCATCCTTTGAGTGTTGGCCCTTTGACCCGGTCAATGACCCACGACTCGTGGTCTCGCCATCCCATGTCACCAGAATATAGAGAGGCTCTATGGGCGGTAGCGATGATGGAAGAGGAAGAGGAGGGAGACGATGCAGAGGGTGGGCAGGTTGTGACTATAGGGGAGGGTTGAGAAGCTCCTGTTAGGTGGCAGTGCTAGTTGCACTAAGACAGGTTATGAGGAGTGCGACTGGGTCCCACGTGCTGGCAGCTTCGGCGGTGCTCTCCTCTCCAACGTCTTGGCCACAGATCATATCAACTCCCTTCTGCAGAGCCTCTACTACATCCCTGCAGTCCGCAAGGTACTCCTGTCCTTTCCTCCCGAGCCCATCTGATATCGTTCAGGCTATCTACAGTATCGACACCAAGCCTAGCAGCGGACCAGACCTAGACGCGACCTTTAGGAATGGGTAGCGATGCTTTCTATTGGTGCTATTCAGTGAGTGTATGTTAGAATACCGGATCTGGGAAGTGAGGACTCTGAGGCGGCGGCTTGCATTGAGGAAAGGGTAGAATCACTACACTCTATTGAAGGGGACCTAGAGGGAGTATGCGGGGACTTGAGAATGATCATGGAGTTGGTGACAGGGAAGTGAGGGGTTGCCACAGAGGTAGGATGAGGAGTTATGGTGTTCAGATCGGAGTATGCTCGGGTTGCCGAGAGGGAGCTGTTGTCGTCGCAAAGGCGTCCGGCAACACCGGTCGCTGGAGGGCGCGGGAGCTCGGGGGCCAGTGATAGAGGTGGGAGTAGAGTCAGTGTTGATTGGGAGTAGCCCTTGGGGTCAGGTGCGAGGGCGGCTAGGAAGTTTGAGGAGATGGAGAGACACTTATTGGGAAGATTCAGGAAGGTGGGCGAAGCGATGCGGGTCCGAGGTTGGCTTATGGGAGTTCCTCCAGTCCCGCGTTGTGATCGAACAGCTGATGGAGATCGTTGACGAGCTGCTGTCCTGTGAGAAGAGAAGGATTTCCCACCCGAGATTTGGGGAGCTCCAGAAGCATCAACTTATGCTAAGAAGTGTTATGCGGAAGCTGAATAAGGTATGCCCAGGGGCCTGTATGGGGTCTTCATGCCTTGTCAGTGTGTCGACTATATGCTGCACCAACAGCAGCTACTTCGGGAGGAAATCGTGGAGTACTTGAAGAAGAGGAAGGGAGGGCCTGATGATAATGGGGACCAGGGGGATGATGGAATGGGTGGGTAGATGTTTGGAAGGTTGGGCGTTGTGGATCTGCTCTTTATGGGAACAGGTGACCCTAAGGAGTCGCCTCCGCCGCAGCCGTGCCTGATTCGGGAACTACAGTTGTTGTTCGCTCGTATGGAGATGCAACAGGACGAGAGTGGCATCTGTCGTATATGCAACGGATCCAACGGGCCTAGGGTAGATCGGTATATATTTCACGCGCCGCGAAAATGCCGTTCTTCTGCCTCAGGAGAAGCCCTCGGCAGACGCCCCGTCTGAGAGTGATTTTCCGATACCATGTACGTGCCAGGTGATCGACACTTCGGGGGTTATTCGGGCCTTGGGCCTCGATGGGCCCAACTGCACTGTGTCACCTGAGAGGATCTACTCTAGCTTTTTTGATAAGCTCCAGAAGCACGCTAGGTGGGGCATGTCGCCCGTATATGTTCGACGCCAGTTGCTGTATTCAGTTTGATATCTAAGGCCGCATGGGAGCGCCTGGCTGACCTCTTTCAAGGATGGGCAGTGTACTCTCCTTCTGGCCAGGTAGGTGGCTGTGTACGGCGCTGTGGGGGGACTGCTGGGTCTTAGGACTCGGAAGCGAGGTCGACTGCGTCTGGAAGGGGCCATCACCATGGTCATCACGAGGTGAGGGCTGGGGGAGGCATTGTTACCGCGGGATCGAACTATGCAGGATCGGGACTCGGCGACATCATCATCGTCGTCTGGACCAACGACCAGTGAGGCTTACTCGTTCAGTCATTTACGCTTCAACAACGGGAAGAGCAGTGAGAACAACAGGGTTGAGTCCTCTATGCGCAGTGCTGTCCTTCCTCAGGCTCTATCGAGAAGCACCTGTCTTGTTGGACGCAGAACCCTACTAACACTGCTGAGCATCGCCATACTAGTGCTGGTGGGACTTGCTGTGGGGTCCATGCTCCTGCAGCTGCAGATGGGGTCATCGTGGGTGGAGGAGGGGAAGGTGGGGGATCTCGTGAGAAGAAGTCGTTGGGGTTATTGTCAATTGCCTTCAGAGGACGCAAGTGGGAGTAAGCGCTCCTGCCAGTTCATCAACATTCCTCCCATACTCCATCTGCAGTTCATCAATAAGATCAAGGAGAGGTGAACTACTCGTGGCAGCGTAGGAGTCTTCTAGACTGAATCTTTCAGGTTGGACATTTCGGAGCAGCTCGATTTCACGCCCTATATGGACCCGGTAGTAGTGGAGGCTGCCAACCAGCGATATCAGCAGCTGGGCCGAACGGTATGCTGGGGGAAAGATCACCGCCGGGTCGTCGGGTATTGGTATTTCAGGGCTCGCTCTTAACATCGCCTGGTGGGGAGGATGGGAAGGGGTAAGCAACGTACTGGAAGGGGGGTCGGGATGTTCATGTCCTCCTGTCAGGGGCAGCAGCGAGAACGATGATGTATGTGATCGGGATAGCACTGGGAGCTCTGGGGGAGATGACAGCCCAGATGTCGCCTTGTCCTCGCGGCACATTGTAAGGCGGCGTTGGTGAATGCTATTGACGGAGTCGGTCTTGCATCAGGATGGGAGCCGTGCCGCGACCTCTGAGTTCCGCTATCGCCTCCACTCTGTTACCTTCTCCACGAACGTATGTGGAGCCACGGACTCTGAGGACCTGGCTGTTGG